TGCGTAACCGAACGAAGCACAGCGCAGAATCGGGCTCGCTATTTTCTCTGAGACTCAAGGCGCCTTCAGTGGTCGCAGTCACTGGCACACAGTTATGCATGACACTCCATGTTGGATGCCTACGCAAGGCTTCTAGGGATACAGCTCTGGAGCGTGCAGTCATATGTTTCACATCCAACAGGGGGCGTCTTCCAGAGCTCCTCTAATGCCGGTTTAGTCACGGCAAATCTACAGGTCGTCATGACCCACCGCAGCAAGGCACTGTTTCCTAACCTCTTTGTCAAGGCATCGGCAATCATGTACTCGCCAGGGAGCCAGAAGAGCTTGGTTCGCAAGACCTCGGCACTCTTACTCATCACCGCCACATCCAGTTGTGCACGTCGGCAGAGTCCAGCAGCTCCGGATCGTCGGTGCCACAGGTCGTAGAGCGCCCTGGCATCCGTAGCAGCCATGGCCTCCTCTTCGTCCTTCACGATCCGCGATGGTCTCGTCTTCTCCGTATCTGGAGCCATCGTTAACACAGGTCCCAGGGATCGCGACCTCGCAGTAGAGGGCCTTCAGCCATTCGAGTTCTGCCAGGCCATCATCCAGTGCCAAAGCCTCCGACCCAAGGGACGCCTTCACCGCTCGTCGCAGCCGATGCGACTTCCAGCTGTTGATGCTCAAGCGACCCACTTTGCCATCCATGATCTCCTTGTCCACGAAGGCGAGCAGAAAACCACCTTGGCTTTTGTCCTTCTCGGCATTGCCCAGGGAAGCGTCTGAAAAGACCATCCAGAGGCCATCCTCAAGAGGGATTGGAAGTATACGGAGCCTGGTGTCACTCGTGCCCTTCAGTTCGGCGATGGCCTTGTTGATCCATTTGACGTTCTGAACCTTCGGCCCGTCCTTGCCAAAAGCCATAGCCATCGCGCAGGCAGCGCCCATGTCCGGTCGGGCTTCTCGCCCCATCCATAATAACGATCCTCCGGCTCCTCGAACCAGAGTTGTCTCGTTACCATCCAGGACACGCCCCTCGTCTTTGATCTTGTCCTTGGGGAGCACGATCGGCCGCAACTTCTCCTGGATGTAGCGCTCCATGGAAATCTGAATCTCAAAGTCCTCCTTCTGGTACACGGTTCTTCCGAGGTACTCGCCGGATGACTTGTAGATCGATCTCCACTTCCCGAAGCGAAATCTCTTCCGGAGATTTTCCATCAGCTCCTCGTGTCTGGGGTTTCCCCCCTGGACAAAATCGTCCACGTCGAGAAGGACCAACCCTGCGCAGCCTCGCATCAGTTGCGAACTTTCATTTGCCAAGAACGGCAAATAATACAAGCAGGGGTCGAACGTGGATTCCAGGTAGCCGAGCTCCGATAGCACTTTCCGCACCGTCCGCCGCCAAATGGCGGGCGCGTTGACGAGCCCATAGACGGCCGTAAGAACCCTGATCAGCTCGGGGGCATGGTCGCGAACAATGGTCCTTGCTCGCGGGTATGCTGGTCAGACTGACCAAAAGCCGAGCTCACATCCATGATGACCAGCTTGTAGCGCATGCTGCTCAGCAACTGGAAGGTGAGGTACACAGTTGGAGTCGCTGGCGTCGGAGCATATCTCTCCAGCTCTTGAGCGTCAGGATCCCGATGTCCGAGCAGGATCCACCTTGCCTTTGCCTTCCAAGACTGACCAACTTCTTGTTGCTTCTTGGTCAGGATAAATCTCGATGGCACAATCCTCTGGGAGAACGTCGCCTTAATCTTCTGGATCTCCTCGGGGTCGGTGACGAAGGAGATGGCGGACGAGCCTTCCAGATTCTGAATCTCGGTCAGCTTCGCTTCTGCAAACATCTTCTTCTCCATGGCATTCAGCGTCCGCTCCTGGATTTCCTTACCAGACTTCTTGGTGAGGCAGATCCATCCTGAATGCAATTCCGAGTAGGTGTAGAGGACGTCGAATTTTTCCAGCTTCCCAAAGACACTCAAGTCCCGACTGTTGGCAATAACTGGGTATTTCCTCTTGTCGCCCCAGGGTGTCACCACATCGGCAACCCACATGCCACCAATCTTGGGCTTGGGTTGCGCATGCCCTTGGTGCCCGGCGCCGTCGTGCACTCGCTTCAGCCCCTTGTCAAAGAGCCGCTTGTCCTCATCCACTGGGTTTGCTCTTAGCGCTGCTTCGCTCACCTCGGTCCCAGGATCTGGGTGACCAGGTCTCGGCTTGTAGTACAGGATGGTCTCGAGGTTTGTCGGTCCGGACGGCAAAGTCCTTGATAGCTGCCGGGGTCGTTCATCACCATCGAACTCTCGTCAGCGATGACTTCGCCCGTGTCCGAGTTCACGGTCCGCCTCCGAACGACATCGTTCCACATGGGTCCTTGGCTACTTGATACCCGGAATCGGGTGGCCTGGTGATCATAGCGAACCCACTGCTTCAGCTCCAAGTTGGGTTTCCATTGTCCACGGTCTTCTCCCGAAGCTAGTGGTAGAGGTGCCTCAGGTGCTGTTGTTGGTTGTGGTGAGGGCAGTTGACGAAGTTGCAGGCTGAGAACGTGGTGGCATTGGTGGTGTCACTCGGGATGTTGGCTTCACGCTCGGTGCTCCCGGTGGTGGTTCCTGTGGTGGTTCTCGGGATGTTGGCTTGATGCTCGGCGGTGGTGGTGGTTCATGTGGTGGTTCTCGGGATGTTGGCTTTAAGCTCGGTGCTCCCGCTGGTTGTTCATGTTGTGGTTCTTGGACCTCATCAGGTGAGTAGTCTCCCACATCGGAGGGCAGGTCGGCGATGTCGTCATTGCCTCGTGGTAGTTCATGATGTCCAGGTTGTCGTGGTCGCTCCGGTTGTTCGCGGTCCGACTCTTCGTGAACCTCGTTCTCATCATGCTGGTTCTCCTGCGTCACGTCAACAAAGCCAAGCTTTTCGCTGTCAAACCTGAGCCGCTCTTTTGCCATCAGTAAGTCCCTTGGAATGACTTCCAATCCTTGGACCTCCAGTGGCCCCATTGCGAAGACTTGCGAAGCATCACACTTCCACAATTCTCCACGCCTTGTGACCCAGACTGTCGAGCCACGTTGGAGGACAACAAAACAGGGTCCAACTTTAGCAAGGGCGCCGCGGCGGCCCTGCCGCCACACAACAACGGGTTGCCCCTCGGAGAAGACCTGGCCCTCTCTCTGTCTCCGTGGTCTTGATCGATTGGCCCGCTGGAGACGCTCCTTGGCATCGAGTTCCATCAGCGCCTTTCTTGCAGCATCTCGGAGCTCCGATGCCCGGTTCCATGCCTTGTCCTGGGTCACCGACAACTCATAGCGCCTATCGTCGCTCGTGAGTCCAAAGCTACTCGGGGCTGTCGGCCAAGTACCCGCTGCGCCGGGGTGAACCCCGACCTGTTGATTTGGAGTGCCCAGGCCGACTCGAAGATCAAGAGCTCCACTTCGTCCATGTCCCGGGGCTGGGCTATCTCCCTGCTCTTGTAGTACACTTTCTTGAAGAGATCACCTCTTCTTTCACACACACCATTTTCCCACGGTGCCTCGTGGTCACAGACAATCGGCTGGATGCACATTCTCTCGATGCCGCTCTGGAAGTCACTTCCTGTGAATTCAGTACCCATGTCGTACATCAGGAAGTCGGGTGGCCCAAACGTTCTCACCCACAGTCTCTCGAAGGCTTTGAGCGTCAGCTTCGCCGAGCGGCGCAAAGGATCAATCATGCCGAAGGTCGAGTACAAGGTGCCAAGGCACGTCACATTCAACACCGGATGCTCGGTCTTGTCGAGGCCGTGCACGAACAGCACGTCAATGCCGATGACCACGTTGAAGTCGTATGTCCGTGGGGTTGCCGACGGCAATCTCGAAGGTGGCCTTTGCTCAAGGTCACAGCCGGCACACTTGAACTCGCGCTGCACATATTGTATGATTTCTGCTCGACATCCAGCTGCCTTAAGAAGCCTGACAAACTCAGCTCGTCCAGGGTGGCCCGCAAAGATGTCGTGGTCACCTTCCGGTCGTGGTCCAAGGCCCGACTGGTCCCATCCATAGTAAACCAAAACCGCCTCAGCATCCATGATTCGGCTGTCAAGCTTGCCTGTCTGAGCTTTCTCGGTCCATCGCCAGGCGTTACCATCACGAATGGCAGTCCATCGCAGGTTGCGATGCCCCGGTCCGACCTCGTGCAATGGAACTCGAAGTGGGTCTACGCAAAGCATGGTCAAGAAACCCTGCTCACACTCCCATTTGGCTCTCGACCCTGTTTTCCGGAGGGATCGACATCGGTCATTCAGATCCTCAGGTTCTGGAAGTTGTGGTGGCTTTTGGTGCCTTCTGGCCTGTCCGATACCTGTCCGGCACCCCGGTGTCGTCTGGCCCTGGTGGTTGTGATGGTCTGCTGGTAGTCCAGGTAGTGCTGCTGAGTCATGGCCCTGGTGGTTGCGATGGTCTGCTGGTAGTCCATGTAGTGCTGGTGAGTCTGGTCCTGCTCCTGCTTTTTCGCCCTCTTCCCGGAAGACATCCACCTGAAGTTCCGCATGTTCACGAAGGCAGGCGTCCCAGTAGAGCTCGTCGTCCTGGCCTCCACTCAGTTGGCTCAAGTTCGCCAGCAATTCTTTCTTGGCATTCTTGTCCAGAGTGACCTCGATCGCGTCATGTCGCACGTCGTCCAACTCCTCCACAAAGTCGGCCTTAAACTCTTGCACCGCAAACACGGTAACCTCTTCATCACCCAGGTTGTAGTCAACAGCATGCGTCTTTGCAATGTCCAGCACATTCACATCACCCTCGTCAACGTTAAAGATCACCCGCGCTGCTCGGGGTGACTTCGCCACCGCATTCTTGGTTCTGGGTACAGTCCGGCCCGTAAAGGCCCAAACGTAGCTGTTGGCCGGCTTGACCAGAGTAGCCAGCATCTCCAAGCTCTCGATGCTCCTCCTCCAGGCCGCTCCCAAGTGCCATCCATTGGTGCGTCCTGTCCGGGTTGTATCCCCCAGAACGCAGAAAGCTGGCCATCACACCGTCCCACTCAGACATCAAGGTCTGGTCGTGACAGCTCGGGCACTTCCACGCCCACCGGTCTCGAAGCTGGTGTGGCTTCAGGGCCTCGGCCTGGCACTGAAAGCAAAGCTTCACCTCGAACGCTGCAATCACCGAGTTCAGCTCAATCTTGTCCGTCCACACGAACTCGCAGTCCGGGTCGCCCCTCGACATATCCAGAGGTATCGCTGCCTCTCCTCGTGCCAGTTCAGCACCAGCTCCCCCTCTGAACATCTCGCGCAGCTCCTCGTCGGTGCCGCCCCTGGCATCAGAAGATTCAGCGCATCTTCCATCATCTCCCTGTCGTGCTCCCAATCCCCAGCCGATGTCGGTGGAGGAATCGCTTGGCTGTCTGGGGCGCCAATCTCGTACTCTTGCTGGTCCACCTCCATCGCCGCATCTCGGCCGAGACGAGGGGGATGTAGTGGCGGCTCCACCGCCATAGTTGGGAGCATCGGTCCTTCCGAGCGCTGGCCGCTCGCCTTTGCCGTACTCGCCGCTGCTGCTCTTGCCGTTAATCGTGCCGAAGACGCTGTCCGCCGCAAGTGTTCTCCAAACGTTGGGGTTGAGCTCGGTCGTGCCGGACTGGTAGTCCCCGTCCGGGAAGTAGCCGCCGATGGTGTGGTCGTTGTCGGCGGTGGGGGTGCAGTTGCTCCTTGGCCTGCTTCTTGGCTTGTGGCGTGACATAGGTGGGCTTCTGGTAGACCAGGACGGTGTTCCACTCGGTCATGCGGTCCGGCGTCAGCTTGGGGATCTGCTCGATGGCCCCACATGCTTCGCACTTCGTCCAGCTCCAGTCTCGGTTGCAGCCGTCGCTTGCCTTGGGGTGAGTGCAGGTCGGAGACTGCCGCAACACCGGCGCCAAGTACTGACTTCGCCCAAGGTGCTGGGCCAACGGTCGAAGCTGGCCCGTCTCGTCGAGGACGTTGGTGTTCAGCGTTGGCACCTTCCCAGTGGCACTCTTGCGCGAAGACTCCATCAGCTCTGCCTCCTTCTGCTGCATCTCCAGAACTTGTCGTTCCAGACGTTCGCGCCTTGCGGCCAGGCGACGGACGTCGCGGAGCTGAGGTTGCTGGGCCACAATCATCAGAGCATTGGCTGCTTGAGTCCACACCACCCAGCGCAAGCGCAAGAAGAAGCGCCTCCAGCGGCACGCGCGTGTCGAAGGCATTGGCGATTCGAATTGGATTCGGGAGAGGTTGGTCAGACCAAACTTGAGACCTCTCAAAGCTGGCGGCATCTGGCATAGAAAACCCTTTGCCGTACTCAGTGACGCAGACTTCAACATGCCCTGTGTTCCGCCTATACATTTGTTGTGTCACTCCAAGCGTGGTGTGGAATAGAGTCAAGCCTACCATGTCAATGATGCTGCCCATGTCTGTCAAGAGGTATGCTGGTATCAAACATGGCACTGGTCCAGGAACGATCTGCACTCGCAAGAGGCCCGAACAGCCGCCAATCCCGATGGGAACATAGGCGATTGGAGTACGCTCCTCTGCCCCACACACACCGCGAACCGTGCCCCCATCCTCGCCCGAATGCCGGACCTTCATGCCAAAGTTGGTCAAGAGGTGTTGGTCCAATTTTTCTAAGGTTTCCCGGCCAATCAACCCATGTTGCGCCGCCGTGTCCACCAAAGCCCGGCCTGGTGCTTCCAAAGAAGTGGCGAAGGTGTACGACAAGAAGTCATGACATTTCAGGGGCACAGGCGGCAGTTGGCTGGCAACAAAGTAAGCTGAGCTAACATCACTCTCGTGCATGTATTGCAGCTGCTTCTGGCCCGGCTTCTCCGCAATCATGGACATAAACCCCGCTGTGCTCGCCACAGGTGGCTCTGCAAAGAACATGGCAGTTGTCGGCCTGCTCTGGTTCCCGCTTGGCGGGCCGGAGCTGCTCGTGCTTCGGGGCTGTTCCTGCTGCCGGTTTCGAAGTGGACAATGCCGACTCCAATGGCCGATCTGCTTGCAGGTGTGGCAGCGGCTCTTGGCCTGTCCCGGGCCTCGTACATAGTCCAGGCCAGGTAGTCGCCCATGAACTCGACGGCCTCCGCCTCATCCAGGCTGTCCGGGGGCGTGCTCGAGGACCATGTAAACCTCGCCCGTCTCGGTGTCCAGGTCCAGCAGGTCCTCAAAGACACCACCGTCTGGCCTTTGGTCGTCGAGGTCTTGCCAGAAGCTGCTTGCCGGTTCATCTTCCTCGTCGTCACCGTAGCCATCTCCGGCACTGTCTTGCCAGAACGTCTTGCTTCTGGCGCCGGGCTCGTCGACCGTCTCGCCAAAGAGCTTCCGGATGGCCCGCTCCACCTTGGGGAAATCGATGGAGCCATCTGTCAAGAACTTAATTCGCTGCCGCTGATCTTCGCTGAAGTTGCCCTGCTTGAGCAAGAGGTGTCCAAGGAGGTGACTTCCCGCCTCCGTGCTCAGAAGATCCAGGCCTTGTCTCTTGAGCTCCCCAAAGGCGGCCTTCTTGGTGGCCACGAATCCGCTGAGGGACTGGTCCTGCCGCCGCCGGCCTTTGAAGATGGCTTGGTCGAAGGCCTGTTCCAGCTTAGCATCGCGGAGGTAGTCGTGGGCCTCCTCGATCAGGGACACAATCTTCTCGAAGCCCGTGTCCTCGGTAATCTCGTCCACCGTCAAGTGGGCCAAAATCGCCGCCAGGCGGCTGCCATAAGGAATGGCATCGATAATCCTCTTGCCGATAAGTCCTCCAGGAAGTCGCTCTCTCGCCTCGATCAGCCAGAGCTTCAGGTTCCGGGCATATTTTTTGTACTTCACCTCCGGCTGTTCGCCGTCCCAACTCGGGGCGGCCTCCATTTTGTAGTCCACATAACGGCGTCCAGTCCCGCTGTCTTGCCCCGGCTCCGCAGTATCTTGACCTCTGGCCGGTGCTCCACCTCGCCTCGGAAGAACAGGCGACTCAGCCCCTCTCATAAAGGAGGGGTCCTCCACAGTCCGAGTCGGAGTCCCCATGACTCCTTCGGATCCAAAACTTGGCTGCCAATCAGCCAGCTCCCCACTGATCAATCACCTCGACTGATCCCAAAAGACTTTGGCCTGCAGGGCCAGCACCAGAAAAACAGGTAGGTCAAGTCGCTGCTCAGGTCGTACTTGTAAGAAGCCGTTCCCGAAGAGCCGGGTCGTGTCCACGCCGGTGTCGGCAAAGTCGAGCTCCTCCGGACGCGTCCGTCCGCCGTCAGGAGCTGTGTCTGGAGCCACTGGTCGTCACCAGCAGCTCCGCTACCATGCGTAACCGAACGAAGCACAGCGC